CTGGACAAGATCGGTGAAGGCAAAGTCCGGGAACATTCCGGCGACGTTCTTTTTCCGGTGACCTTCACGTGCCTCTCTTTCAAGGTGTTCAAAGGAGAGATTGTTGAAGGGGTTGTTCACAAGATCTTGAAACATGGTGTTTTCATGAGGTGTGGGCCCATTGAGAATCTTTATTTATCGAATCAGAAGATGAGTGATTATGAGTATCAGATTGGGGAAAGTCCGTGTTTTTTGAATATGAAAACGGGGTCGAGGATTGAGAAGGATGTGGGGTTGAGGTGTGTGGTGATTGGGGTTAAGTATATGGAGGCCATGAAGGAGATTCAAGCGGTTGTTGGGTTGGAAGGGGATTATTTGGGTCCGGTTTAGTTTTAGGAATAAATAAAAGTTGGTAATAAAGTTTAAGGATGATGTGGATGTAATTTGGTAGGAAGGTTTGTTTGATTTAAAATGTATTGTTGTGGTGCTTTGGATTTGGTGTAGATTGTTTATAGGTTTGGTTGAAGTTTGGATTGGTATCAAATTTGGACCATGAAGTTTGGTCCTTTTAATTTGGAAAATATAAATCTAAATTTCAAGTTTTGAACAGGGTTAATGTCATACGATGGTTAATGTCAAGGTTGTTATGGTGGAGGGAAGTCAGGGAACCATCTTTTTCATGCAAATCAACTAAAATCATTGGGGTGGAGATGTTGGTTAACTTTGTGCTAATTTTTCTTCAACTATTACATCTTCAACCGATATCAAATCTGAGTTATATTTCGTGTTCTGTGTTTCATTGTTCTCTACAACGATAAGACTAATGCTAAAGGGAGTGGTAACACTCCCAGCACTTTTGCCACATCAACTTTTTGAATGTCATTTCATTTTTCTCTATTTAACATCTAATCTTAGCATTTGGTAGGGAGTGATAACACTTCTAACACTCTATTTTTTTATAATTTAATTTAATTACTTTATTTTAATACACAAACATTTTTTTTAATGGCAGAGATGACGTGTTTCTTGTTGTTTATCCCATTCCTTGAAAAATATGATGAAAATGGAATTTAATGGTGGAGGAGTTGCATCTCAAGCTCTCAACCCTCAATATTTACGGCGCTATGCAGATCTTTGTCAAAAACATCCCTCGGTGCTTTTTTGCTTTCCTCAGACCTGTTCTCCTTCCCAGATCGCTACCTCAGTAGCCCTTGTTGCGTTTGTGCCCCCTTCCTTCTTCGATTTTGCCAAAATCACCTCACCGGAGTGGTGTGTTTACTTTGTGAACGACAAGAGACAACAAACTCTTGTTTTGCTCCTCTTTGTGATTGATTGCCACCACCGAGCCACATGTTGCTTAGGTCAATCTCCTCCTCCTTCGAACCAGTTAGGCACAGGAGGTGATGTAAATTTTTTTTCATTCCTCCACCAATCACAATCTTCCGTTCAGTTCTCTCTCATCTCGCCAACGAGTTAGCGAAGGAAGCTTAGCGAGCCCCCTAGCGAGCGCTAGGAGGTGGTGTTCTCCTCCTCTTAGCGAGCCGGTAGCAAGCATCCACTCCCTTTAGTCTAATAGTGACAAAAAATAAAAAAAAAAATAAAAAATAAAAAAACAAAATCCAAAACTATTGTATAAGTTTTATGGTTAGTAAATCACAAGTCATGACAACCGTAATCTCATGATGTCACCATGGACCATGCAAAGTTTATAATTTGGTATTCGTTTATTTTACTAATGATTGCATATATGTAAAAATGTAAACAATGGTAATTGAATTGTTGTGTTTTAATAGTTTAGACGCCTTGACAAAATTGGACTTTTTCTGTCAAAAAGCACTAGAATAGAAGAAGAAAAAAAAGGACCGGTTGTGGTGACTTGGTAATACATGTGGAAGATATGGTGGATAACCTATTGACCCGTGTTCAAATCCTGACACCACTCAGTCCTTGTGGCCATCAGGGCGGACGCAACGGCAAGGGAAGGGGGGAAGTGCCCCCAACGGTTTGAAATTTCTTCTATTAGAGTAGTCTTAAATTCTGGTTATTTGTTCTTCTTGATACAGCATGCCCCCAACAAAATCTGGCTAAAGTTGTTGGACTTTGAGAGTCGGGGGCACCAGACTTAAGTTGAAAACAAATTAAACCCACTTTGGGGTTTAATTGTTAACTTTCAACAACATCTTCTATTCTTTTATGTCGTTCCTTTTTAGTTTTGTCAAACCATAAAGACTTAAAACCCTAGAACGTAATCAGTGTTCCGTCTCCCTTCAACTACTCAAGAAAACCATAAAATATGAAAAATCGAAAGGAAGAAACTTGAAATTGAAGCGCATGATTCGACCTACAGGCTACAACTCAAAATCAAGCTTGGAGAGATCAGGTTAGTCATATGATTGAGGCTTCATAAAAATGTTTAATATAATTTCTGATTGAGGTTTTCTTTATGAATTCTTAATATATTAATGTTGGGGAATGGTTGAAGAATACTAGGTTAGAAATTATGACTTACTGTAAAAAAATCATCAATTTTCCACTGCGCTTGAAATTGATTAGGTCATTAATATCGATTATCAAATCTGTTTTAAATAGATGCATAAAAGTGATTTGGAAGGTTATTTTGGTAGGTTGATGACCAGCTTGTGTAATTTATAAAGGGTAAAATGGTGTAATTTGTAAAGGGTAAAATGGGAACTCTCATTCCTTGGAGAGATGGAATGAAAAACATGCTAGTTAATGGAATGACATTCCTCCGTTCATGATTCTTTCTTTACCAGTTTATCAACAATGCAATATATTTTGATTGGAATGAAATAATGCTTTCCTTTCCCGTTTATCACCTTAGCTTAATAGCTTCTATTTTGGAGTTTTAGATATAATGCTTATTAATGTTAGATTATCTTTAGAGTCTTTACAAGCTTCAAAAACTATTTATTTTCAATATCAATTCTTTGGTTCAAAGAAAAGAACCCAATCATGAAATCTTGTTTAAAATAATTTTGACCTACCCTTTGTTTGATACTTTGGTGCCCCCAACATATCGAAATCCTAGATCTGTCCATAGAGGTTCGCCTGCAGTGACTCCAGGGCATGAGGCAAAACTTCATGTTTGCAGCGGGGATTAGTCGGTGTGCGAAAGCTGGCCCGGAAACCCTCGTTAGGAAAGTTCCCTTTCCAAAAAAAAGGACTAGAAAATAGAAATTGGGGGTGTAGTTGGGGGCTAAATCAGTTAACTATGCCCATTGTCTACATGAAAATTTTTCTAAAACTGAAAACCAACAAGAAATTGATTTGATTGATCGTCATTTATAGGTTTATCTTGAAGTTAGTCATATTTTTCCTTTGTCTTTTTTACCTTAAAGTCGTATTTTTCCTTTGTTTGTCTTCTTTTTTTTTTTTTTTTTTAATTTTATTTATTTATTTATTTATTTTTTATTATTATTATTATTATTATTATTATTACATTCAAGGAGACGTGACTGTCTACTCTATTTTATTGTGATTTGTTGTTGCTTTTGATCGTGATTTATAGACTTGAACAAATTATATATTTCACTACGTATTAGTCTTTTTTTTTTTTGGATATGATTTGAAAAGTAATCTTTGTTCTTTTTGTCATTTCATTATTTAAGGGAGTTAAGGCCCTATTTAATGTAGACCTCTCAATGGGGCGGGTTTGGAGCGAATCAATCTTGATCCAAACCCGTTTAAAAAAATAAAAACTTGACCCGACCCGCTCCAATAACCTCAGGGTCTTGAATAGTCGAATCCATACCCGTATCCACCGAATCAACGAATACCCGACCCATTAACCCGACCCTTTTGTAATATTAATTTTTCATAATTTTTTTGTGTTCCACAAAGTAATATTTCTCAAAAAGATAAAATGTCTACTATGTATATTAATTAATACTCAAAGTCCAATAGAATAAAAATCATATTTTACTTAGACATTATATATATATATATATATATATATATATATATATATATATATATATATATATATTAAATGGGGCGGGTCATAAGTGGAGCGAATCTACAATGATCCATACCCGACCCATTTACTAAAAGGGTAAACGGGTATGGATCGTAAACGGGTAAACGAATCAAAAATTAAAATCCAAACCCGTTAAATTCTTAAGGGTTTGGAGCGAATCAGGGTCAAAACCCGCCCCATTGACAGGTCTAATTACATGGGAATGATTTTTTTTTTGTCTTTCTTAAATAGAAAAGAAAAATACTATTTCTTAGGGACAATAAAAAAGATAGAAGCATGTTTGGCTAAACTAGCTGCAAGCTGTACCATTTTTATATATATGAAAAATAATAGAAATGTTTTTAAACCATATAAATTACATAAAGTTATTTATCTATAACACACATTTGGTTTTAAAAAAAGTAATTAAGTCAATACAAAGTTATAATTTTATTTTTGTTAAACGTTATTTCAAATAAATAGCTTTTGGATTTGAAATTTTTTTATTTAAATTAAAACTAAAACTTCTACTGTATAAAAAAAATAATAAAAAAAAAATCAAAAATTTTCGTAAAAGCTAAAATCTCCTAAATCCTAAAAACTGCAGTTGCTAATTCTGATTTTGTTATTTGTTAACGTTGAAATGTTAAGAGTAAACAAGCAAGCAATTGCTGCAACAATTACATACATATGAAATTCCCTAAGCCATTTGTTAAGTCGAATTAATTTGTAGCAACCAATTATCTAGTTTTGATTCTATTTTAAACATTGCATTAATCTACAGATAAAAATATCCTGAACTCGATTGAATAGCTAACCGATTTTGATTTTGATTTAAACTTTGAGTTTCAGTAAATTGGCAACAAGAACACAAATTGGATCAAAATTCACAATCCACAAACAACAAAGATGAGATCATATGTAACAAAAATAGCCATTGAAACAACATCACATAATCATCAATCAATCTACATGTATATAAAAATCGTACGAGCAATGATCAAAGTATTGTTAGTAAAATCCAATTTGTTCTTCAACAATTCAATCAAACCTGCATGTAAGCTCCTCGTGAAGCACCATCTTCATCAACACCCGAAAGCAAAGCTCCGTAAGGCGATTCAGTATCATCAGGAGTCCTCAATATCGCGTGTAAGCTCACCAGAAGACCCGCGATCACAATCGAGAGAAATATGTTCCACCAAACTCCGGCAACAGCAACGGCCACGATCGTAATCACGATCAACGAAATCAGAACCAAACGATCGCCGAATTCGAAATCGAAAACGATTAACGGTTCGTCTCTGGCGAAGAACAGGTAGATCCAACCGACGATGATGAACAAGAACACGATTGCGGCGATTGGGCGGAGAATTAGGGTTAAGATGAAGATGAGTAGGGAGATGATGGCGTAGTTGCCGCGGAAGGTGTAGAGGTTTTTCTGGAATCGGAGGGAGAGTTCTGGGAAGGAGAGAGGGAGGGTGAAGGAGGTGAGGAAGTCGTCGAACCATGGACGGATTGCGTGGCGGATTTCGGCGGTGGTGCTGTAGGTGTTGGTAGCGCCGGCGTCTGGTGTCATTGTGTGAGGGAAGGGGGATTGAATGGATAGGTAGTGATGGTGAGACTATGGAAATGGAAGACGTCAAAAGGTGAAGGAGAAGAGTAGTGTATTCTCCGTCGTGATCATGGGTTCCTCCGTCGTGAGTGGTGGAGCTGTCGGCTGTGAGGTCGGCTGGCGGTGGTAATATCTTTCTATTAATAAACAAAGTGGCGTGTGCGAATGACTCAAAGTCAACAAGCAAGCATTCTTGTTTGACGGGGTCTATTACAATATTAGACCATTAACATGAACCTCCGTTAAAGAATTAAACAAATTTTCATAGTTAAAATCATAATTATTGTTTTAAAAAAAATTATTAAGTTCGAGAGGTATGTGATTGTCATGTAACTTTATGTGAAATATTTGAATTCATTTTTCAAGATACATGAGATATTATTTATGTGTGAATTAATGAAAAAATAATGTCATATAATGAAATATAAAATATAAAATTGATCATAAAATAAAACAACCACAATCAATGAAGCAAATGAAAATTGGTACATGATAAATTGCAAAATTAGGTTATTATAATAATGAAAGTAAAAAAGGGGTTATAAATGTACATAGAACAAAAGTTGAAGGTGTTACATACCTAAAAAAAGAGTAAATCGGATAGCGTGTGAGAAATGAATTGAACGGGGAGATGTTTTTGAAATGAATCGCCTAAGAACACCAAATATCACTTACGAAGACAAACAACGATAATGAAATAATAACAAATTAAAGATCGAGTGGAGAGATGTTTTTGGAAGACAACGAATGTGGTATAAATGGGTGACCGAGTCGAAGGTGCCTTTGAGCCGGAGAGCACGAACAACAGAGTCAAGAAGACGGATTGTGAATTATGCGTCAGTGATGTTATTTTTGGGTAAGGTAAGCCTTGATTTCACACATTGAAACGTTTTATACTTTTAATTTTTGGTTTAGCCGATATATATCTTCTCATAGAAAACTATAATGTTGCGTTTATCATAATCTTTTGTTAGGATCTGTGTTTGATATTTTTGCATAATTTTCTTGATTTTTGTTTTATTAGGTGTTAGCTTTTCAAAAAAAACATATTTTGTGACCAAACACATATTTTCCTATTGACAGGTAAACACAAAGTGAAATTTTTAAGAATCATTAAATAAGGAAGAAAATGATGGTGACAATGTATTTAGTCAAGATAACAGTGATTCAAGTGAAATTAGTGTATTATATTCAAGTGGAAACATTGGTGAGGTAATTTAAATGAAAATTAGTGTAGTATATTCAAGTGGAAACATTGGTGAGGTAATTTAAATCTTTGATATTTTGTAAGATAATTTTTCTATAGTCCAAATATTAATAGTTTGTAGTTTTTCTATAGGCCAATGTGGTGGCCGATGCTCTCAACCGCAAGGTGGTCGCGACTCCGACCCAAGATCTATACTTGAGGATGACCATGGTTACTCCGTTGTTGGAGCAGATCCGTGAGGCATAGGTTGAGGCTATGAAGGAAGAGCGTCGGAAGTGTGAGCAGATTGTGGGGCAGGTGGCTTCCTTCGATTATGATAGTCGCGGACTGTTGACTTTGCATAGGGTGGTTCGGGTTCCGTATTGGGGCGGGGTGCGCCAAGTTCTGATGGAGGAGGCTCACAAGTTGAGATTCTCGATTCATCCCGGGGCGACAAAGATGTACAAGGATCTTCGCCCTGATTATTGGTGGCCCTGCATGAAGCGGGATATAGCATGGTTTGTGGAGCGGTGCTTGACTTGCAGGAAAGTCAAGGCCGAGCATCAGCGACCTCACGACAAGATGCAGCCGTTGGAGATTCCCATATGGAAATGGGAAGACATCACGATGGATTTTATCACGAAGCTTCCCAGGACTGCACGCGGAGTGGATTTTATTTGGGTCATCGTGGATCGATTGACCAAGAGCGTACATTTCATTCCGATCCAGGAGAGTATTTCTGCAGAGAAGCTAGCTAAGATTTATGTTTGGGAGGTGGTGGCACGTCATGGGATGTCGGTATCAGTAGTTTCAGACCGGGATGTTCGCTTTACTTCCAGATTTTGGAAGCGGTTTCATGACGAGATGGGTACTCGTCTCCATTTCAGTACGACTTTTCATCTGCAGACCGACGGGCAGAGTGATCGGACGATTCAGACTCTTGAGGATATGCTGCGTGCGTGCATATTAGATTTTGGTGGGAGTTGGGATACGTATCTTCTGTTAGCGGAATTTTCATATAACAACAGATATCACTCTAGCATTGATCGACCTCCTTTCAAGATGCTCTACGGTAGGAAATGTAGGACCCCGATTTATTAGGGGCGAGGTCGGTCAGCGAGTCATGGGGAGTACCGAGGTGGTACTCAAGACTACTGAGATGATTCAGCAGGTCCGGAGCAGGATCCAGACAGCTCAGAGTCGGCAGAAGAGCTATGCCGACAAGCGTCGGTCGGATTTGGAGTTTCAGGTGGGAGATATGGTTCTCCTGAAGGTGTCACCTTGGAAATGTGTCATTCGGTTTAGGAAGTGGGGCAGGCTAGGCTCCAGATATATCGGTCCTTTCAAGGTTTTGGATCGGGTGGGCCGGGTTGCGTATCGTCTTGACCTTCCAGCCGAGCTCAGCCAGATTCATAGCACATTCCATGACTCTCAGTTGCGGAAGTGTTTGGTGGATGATTCCGCAGTTGTACCCTTGGAGGATATTCAGGTGGATGACCGTCTAAATTATGTTGAGAAACCAGTGGCAATATTAGATCAGAAGACAAAAACCTTGATGAACAAGGTAGTGGAGCTAGTGAAGGTGTAGTGGTTGTATCGCAAGGGGTCAGAGTGGACTTGGGAGCCCAAGTAGGAGATGAGGGAGCATTACCTAGGATTGTTCGAGACAACGGACTTCAAGGACGAAGTCTGATTCAAGTGGGGGATAATTGTAATGCCTGGTTTCTGGTATGAATTTATTTCCAATTATTTGCATTTTTCTTGGAGGACTCGTCAAGTTGGAAGCCTCAACTCAACGTGTCGAAGTTGTTTTGGCCGCGAAGTTTAATGAGTCAACTCGACGAGTTGGGGTGCCTCAACTAGGCGAGTTGGCAGCTGGGAAGGAAACCCTAATTTTTAGGGTGTTGCACTCTATTTAAAGGCCTTAAGTCCCTTGGTTGGCCTCCTTACCAGCCTCCTCTGTCCAGAAACCCTAAAATCGAGCATCTACTTCCATTCTTGAGTGTGTGAGCTTGAGGAGAGCCTTAAGTGTCCATTTTTGGTGCATATTGAAGGATCTAAGGAATTGGGAGTTGCGTGGCTTGAAGAAGGAGTCTTGGATCCAAAATCACTAGCTCATTTGTCAAGTTTTTGAGGTATCAAGTTCATACCTTGCTTATTAGTTTCATAGATCTCTTCTTGGGTTAGTTTGTATGCTTTTAGCCATGTTGGGTGGATGATGGGGGTGTAGGACGTCCCAAATGTTATCCTTTCAGATCTAAGATTTTCATGAGCTCTTTTGGCATAAAGGTGCCAATTTTATGGTCTTAAGGGCTTCATGCTTTCATTAAGTCCTTCTTTTGGCCTCTTTTGAGCGTTTGAGCCTCTCCTAGTCATGCATGAGTGTAAAGTTAGAAACTTTACATAGCCATTCAACTTTTAAGGGCCAGATCTGCAGTTTGGGGCTATGCCTTTGGTGATTAAGTGCTTAATGATTAAGTCGTCACCCTTTTAAGCCTAGGGTTTAGGTTTTAAACCCATTTTGGTGGTTCTTAGGGGTAAAGTTGGAAACTTTACCCTTATTGAGGCCATTTCAGTTAAGATCTGAGTTGTGAAGCTCTTAGTTTCGATAAGGTCGACTTAATGAATTAAGATGTTGGATTTCTGGCGAACTCGGCGAGTTTATGGATAAACTCGACGAGTTGGATCAGTTTCTTCCTGACTTTGCAGACTAATGGAGAAACTCGGCGAGTTGGGTTAACTCGGATCGTTGACTTTGATTTTGACTTTAGTCTTTGACCAAGTTTGACCTATAAGGGGGGCTTTTGGGAATTTTGAGTTGTACTTAAGGAAATCTTTTCTGTTTAGGGGTTGAGTAGAGTCAATATTCGGAGTCGGGATCTGTTCAGCTACCTTTCTGTATTCGATGTGAGTTTCCTTACCGGGTTTAGCGGGTCGAAGGCACCAATGACGACCTATGTTAATGTTATGTTGTTAGTATGCTACCTGTCTTTGTGACTCTTGCATGTGCCTGTGTTTATGTGTTTTTCGGGCTAAGGCCCGATGTCGGGCAGGGCCTGATGGATATTTGTATGCTATGTGATTATTGCATGTATATGTGGTTATTTGATATATGTTATTTTATGTTGGGTGGGGCCCGTTTACCGAGCTCAGCTCGATGCCGGACAAGGTCCGATGTCGGGCGGGGCCCACTATATGTTTATTGTATGGTTTTTATGTGGTATTTTGGGGAGACTCACTAAGCTTTGTGCTTACCGTTTTTAGTTCATGTTTCAGGTACTTCCGGTTGTAAATGGAAGAGCTCGGGATGACTGCATCACACACACCGTTGAGATTCCGCTTATGATGTTTACTCTGATTTTATGACAAATTGATACATTGGGTTTTATTTAAATGCTTGGATGTTATTGGAAAATACTATTTTATCTATTATTAAAATGAAATTTTTTGGGACCATATTTTTGGATGTTTCACCTCAGCCACAAATTCATGCATTCAACATTGTTTAATCTGCCCTAATCCTTATTATTAATCAATCTCTCATAACAATAACATTGTTTAATCTGTCTTGATCCTTATTATTAATCAATCTCTCATAACAATCCATGTGATACGAAATCAAAATATTTATTATCCTACAGTACCTGCACGTAATACTAATGTAAAAGGACATACTACAATCCCTAATTCTATATCCTTTATCATAATAATACCAGATGATCGTATTAGGACAATATGTGATCAAATAGATGATCATACATGCAGTAGCTATTTCACT